CTCTCTCTCTCTCTCTCTCTCTCGCAACCATGTCACATTCACAAGGCATGCCCAACAGTGTCCTCTCTCTCTCTCTCTCTCTCTCTCTCTCTCTCTCTCTCTCTCTTACCAGGCATATGACATATTCAAATGTGCAAGGCTCCCCACCTCTGTGTGGTCAAGCAGGAAGTGCCAACGCATCAGTCCACTTGACATGCACTGGAAAAATACAAAGCACCAAACAACTCTCTCTCCCACAAACAGACACAGGAGAAAGCCCAATGGTCTGAGACCAGAAGCTTAGATTGCGTATAAGTGCAACATGTTTGGGTGACCTTGGTCGGTTAGAAGAGTTCAATGCTGAGATTGCTGGTAGCCTAGACAAAATGAGAATAAATCTTCTGGTAGAACATGGGAAGATGCACCGCCATATCTTTCGTCTTTTGTGCATGTGGATGCTAGTGGATCGAGGTCATAGAACCACAAAAGGGCAAAAAAAAAAACGAAACACGTCTGCTGCTGTGCAACATGTTTGGGTGACCTTGGTCGATTAGAAGAGTTCAATGCTTCAACCCGCAGCTCCCCACTCCAAGAGTACTTGGTCAGTTAGAAGAGTTTAATGCTTCAACCCGCAGCTCCCCCCACTCCACGGGTCCTTTTTCTCCCCTTTTTCCAAAGCCTTCCACATTCCAAAAAAGCGCCAATAAAATGGTACTAGTACTCAAAGAATCCCACCACGTCAAGCCCTGTTGACTGTCTACGTGAACAATCCTTCTTCCACCCCATAACCCCCACATCAATCCTCGCAATACCAACCGCATACATACACACAATACACACACACCCACACCAGCACGCACAACTGAAGAATGATTTCCCAAACTCAAAAAGGGCACGATACCACAAGAAAGGTTTTCACAAGAGAAAAGGTGTCTGCTTGACGGCCTGAATCTAATTGACACAGCACTGAGGCACCGTCGGGCGCCGCGTTCTCTTCGAGAATGCAATAAATAATTGAAGATCCTGGACTATTTAACGCTGGGCCCGGTTCCCAGCACGTGCTGCTCCCCACGAATAGACTGGAGCACTTGTTCAAAAAAAAAAAAAAAAAGGTGTCAGAAAACATACTTCTGGTTGATGGCTTGAATCTCTTGTCTGAATGCGGCCATTTCCTTCGTATCGGAGAGAGAGATGCGCTTTCCTGACTTCTGCTCAAGGCGGTCAAGTGCCTCCATGGTTAACGAGGACACTCCCAAATAATCCTCGATCCCAAGCCTGCAAAAGGAGAGCAAAGAGTAAAAAATACGCATGCATCCACATTCAGACCCCTGGTGAATGGTTCACAACACTCTTCAGAAAATCCACAAGCCCCGGGCTTCAAAGTGAAGCCGAAAAGTGCGCGATTAGACACAGCACAGCGGAATGTATTCCCCAATCTAACCATCAACCAGTGCAATAGGCGTCTCACCCACGCCCTTCGCATCCATCATGCCAATCGTAGATTTGACCACAAAGGGATAATCCGCAGTTCAACGCCTTCTCCCAAACTTAGGAATCACCCAAGCTGCATCCTGCCCATTGTGTGCTGGATCTGCAAAAATGCTACCTCACTCAGGATTGACGACAAGTGTCCCTCCTCCTCCACCTCTTTCTCTCGACCTCTGCTTTACACTTGTCGTCAATCCTGAGTTCGGAGAAGTCGTTGAAAGACAAGTGTCCCACCCAAATTTGGGGGCTTTATCACTTAAAAGACGAGTGAAAAGAAAAAAATGCCTCCCTCCTCCTCCTCCTCCGCACAACCGCCCCCGAACACAAAGGGTTGATCGGTTCAATGTCGTCTCCAAACTCAGGAGTCACCCAAGCTGCATCCTACCCATTGTGTGCTCGATCTGCAAAAATGCTACCTCACTCAGGATTGACGACAAAGTGCCCCTCCCTCTTCCACCTCTTCCTCTCGGCCTCTGCTTTGCCCTCGTCTTCATCATTTAAACGAAAAGTGAAAAAGAAAAAAGAAAAAAACCTCCCTCCTCCTCCTCCTCCACGTAACCGCAGATCACGATACGTCGAATAGCACATGTTTATTGCGGTCGCAATCCGAACCTATTATTTGGTGTGCTTGGATTGGTTGATTAGGATCCACCGTTTAATGTGGCCCCACTATCGGGCCTGGGAAAACAAACAGTGGCAACAGGGAGCAATTTTATTTTTTTTTCTTTTGGAAATTCGTTCATTCCTCTCTTTCTCGGGAAAACAAACAGTGGCAACAGGGAGCAAATTTTTTTTTTTTCTTTTGGAAATTCGTTCATTCCTCTCTTTCTCCTTTTCTTTAGTTCTTTTCTCTATACTCTTAAAGGGAATCGCGGGTCTCGCGTAATGCTCCCATGCAGACCCGCCTTCCAATGTTGGGAAAGCTGCCAGGACAAGGGGCGGGCCCAGCGGAACGAAGAGTTGGAGCCATTTGCGACTCGCTGGCCGCATGTTCGAATACAAGTACATAGCGCCGCAACGTGCAGAGCAGTTATTTATTTAGGACAGTAGATTCTTTTTTCTTTCAGTAGATTAGATTCGTCCTTTTTTTTGCCTTTTTTGGAGAAGAGCCGGACGAAAGGGACGTGCAGAGCAGTTATTTGTTTAGGACAGTAGATTCTTTTTTCTTTCAGTAGATTAGATTCTTCCTTTTTTTAGTCTTTTTTGGAGAAGAGCCGGACGAAAGGGCCTCGCTGCACTACTCTCCACATGTACAAAAGACAAAAAAGATGGCAATGCATCTCTCCATGTTCTAGCGGTAGATTCGGTCTCATTTTGCACATTTGGAAAGTGGTGCAGCAAGGCCCAAAACACGGCGGTGCACCTTTCACTGCTCCAGGGGAAAATTCTTTTGGACGTTGGGCATGGCTGCACTACTCTCCACATGCACAAAAGACAAAAAAGATGGCAATGTATCCAGTCTCATTTTGCACATTCGAAGAGTACTGCAGCCAGGCCCTCTGCCCGTTTGGTGAGCAGTGGAGAGGGCCTCGCTCCACTACTCACCATGTGCACAAACGACAAAAGAACGGAATCGCCGTTTTTTTTTCTCAGCAGTCTTTTTTTTTTTTTTTTTTGAGGGGGGGCGCACGAGAAGGGGCACCATCATGGTGGCCATCCGCATACCCTCTACCAGGGGCACATATAATGGCCGGGAAACGGATCTACGCACCCAGACGCCCATTATATGTGTCCCGGGAAGGGGGAGCCCCCGTCCCACGCGGCGCATCCATCCTCCGGACCTTGCAATTGTTTCTTTTGTGTTCCAATCCTCACATACTCCCTACCCTTTCATTCTTGCCCCTATTTCTCTAGTACATCTCCTATCACCCCTTTCAGACCTGTACCATCCCTTGTCATTATTGTCCATGCTTCCTACATCTCCCAGTACATCCTGAAGGTGTCCATAGTCTTTACAACTCCCCGCAGTTACCCACAATCTTCACACGTTCACCTCATTACCCCCTTATACTCCACCCATCCCAACGATCAAGTTTATTTCACCCCATCCAGGGGGTCGGTGTGGTCCTCCGATGGCACTACGGAAAGGTAATATCCAGCTCCAGAGGCAGGAGACTGTCGACGCTGTCTTCAACCAGCTCCTGTTCGATAACAGGTTCATATGTGACATCGAGACGGACCCCTTCCCATGGTAGGATAGCATGGGTGCTTTTGGTTGTCAGTGGGCTGAGTAGGGGGTATATAAGATTGTCCCCTTATGGGACACCCAGAAAGGGGACTTGAAGACAGACGAGGGCATGATAGGGAGCCTGCCTTCACAGGAGGTTAAGGGAATTGCGGGAGGCGCCATCCCGGACCTGCTGAAGTAGGATGGCCTCCAGGAAGGGAGGGGACTGGGTGAACCAAAAAGGGGAGCTTTGTCTGTGAATGGTGTACAGGCTGGAAGGGGTGCTGTTGGCAGGGACACATGCAGCCTCAGAATGGCTAGTGAGGTCGGGCAACGAGGGGTTAGGTTGCCCGTTGGTAGGATCGGGGGAGGAAGATTTGCCCCGCAGATGCCAGATTGACCCGTTCACTGTAGAGACAGTGGGGGTCTGCAGAGGGGGCAAGCGGAGTGAGGAGGTGTGTGTACCTCCCCTTTTGTCTGAGAAGGAGCAAGCGACAACTAGTGTTGGACGCCCAAGAGCAGTACCTTCCCCCTGCGAATCACAACAAGAAGAGAATTCCGCCACAGCAGATCACCATGAAGGTAATCTACCGGTCGCTGCTTCGAGAATTGCATTTATCTGAAAGAATTGAGAGACAGACGGGCGAAAAGAGAGTGGATCCCCCCTGCGCTAATCCTTAGACGGATGGTCAGGAGATGGCGGGAGCAATGCGCGATCCTTAAGTCCCTACCTGACCAGAAACAGGCTGGACTGCTGTGGCAGATACACCACTTGGTCGTCCCGACGGCACGGCACAGTGGCTGGCATCTAAGTAGCCACAAAGATGAGCAATGCGCGGCTCATCGGTGCGACCAGACAGATTCCATTCCCCACCTCTTTCTTCACTGCCCCATGATCGCAGACTTCTGGAAAAGGTGGGCGTCAGTGATGAGGGACCTCTTCCCATGGATAGTGAACGAGGATGACGATTGCTTCTATCCCATTAGGAACGCTGATGGCAGTGGGTAGAGAGGACAAACAGAAGCTTTACGCAGCAGAAGTGGTGAGAGGGACGGTGCTGTGGGCCATACGGACTCTGCGGAACGAATGAGTCCATCAGGGTAAGAAGGTTACTATGCCAGGCATGAGGAGTAGGGTCCTGTAGAACCTGAGAGTGGTGTTAACGGCAGATCTGCTCCGACATAAACGGAAGTCCCACAACGGCACTGATAAGTTCTGGAGAATCTGCGGGGAGCACCCGGTCCTGACTGAACAAGATCCGACAGCGGGCAGTTTCGTCTTTGGAACCTTGCTGCAGAAATATGCCCCTCACTTGGAGTAGGGCGTAGGAAGGTCTCTTGGCCTTGATCCCGATCATTCTGCACATCCAAAAGACAGGCCAGGCCTGCAACCGCTGCACAATCAGGTGAAAATAGCATCTCCAATCTTGTTGTTTCCTTCTTCTCTGGAAATCATCGGTCTCTGCTACGGGTGCCCTACTGAAAGGATTTCACCTTTCTAGCCTGCCATGATTTGATCCGGGGACCTGTGCGCGAGTCTCCTTGCACTACCATCTACCAGGGCCATTCTTTACTTTCCTATATGTATGTATATCTACTCGACCTAGCACGACACGGTCTCTCGTGTGTAATTCCGGGACTGTGCACTGTCGCCCCGGAAGATGAGTGCCAGAGCTAGCTGGAGGTAGAGACAGTCGGATCATATCACAGCTGCTTGGCACTCGTGATCAGGTATCCACCTAGGGTCAGTTCTGCCAGAGGCTGCTGAGGATAAAAGAATCAAAGATCGCTCATGCAGACAGACCAATACCCGAGAGATGTACGTTTGTGTATACATGTACCTTTGAAACGGTGTATATATGGGGCCACAGCACCGTATTCTACTGTACAGTAGACAGAGTATGTGCATTGAGCCAAACACAATAGAGCTGTTCAACCTAGACGCAGGCAAGGGTGCTCTTGGAATAAATCATGAACAAACAAGCAGCTGCTCTGCCTCGACTTCGTCAGGCGACCTGGTGTGCATATATACCGATACCTCGGGCTAGACGGTTTCATGATCTTCTACTCTCCGAATCCAGTTTCGCCACAGAAGTGAATGTGGCCATCCAGAGTTAGTCGGGCGAAAAGTAGGGACGACCAACGTCATCCTCCAGGAAGACCACCCAAGGGCACCGCTCCTACGCTATGACTACCACCTTCCCCCAAATACAGCACACCCTAATCACGAATTCAGACTAGCTAGGTGTAGGGTCAAACCAGTCATGATGAGAGTGCATGGTATTCGAAACTCAGCATGCACTATCCTGTTGTTGGCTGACCAGACAATAAGGGTGCCATACATTACAGGTCATCATTTTGGGCGTCATTTGCTTGGGACTCCTGGTTCGGCTTCCATCCTCTTACGGGGTTTGGAGACCTCAGGTCTTGAACTTCCTGCTCGTTTGAACCTGTTATTTTTGTTGTAGTCAGCTCGATCCGCAGAGAAAGAGCTGCCGTCTTTACCCGAACCGACCACCCGGTAATTGTAACTGTATCTAGATTGAAAGTGGCCACAAATGCAGCTATAATAACCAGGCATGCTATTCGGGAGAAGTTGGTAGCACCCTGTGCACCCTGTAAATGTGTCCACACCACATCTTACTGTTTCCAGGATTTGAAGACCCATCAAGCAATGCCCAACAACAGTGTTCTCCCTCTCTCTCTCTCTCTCTCTCTCTCTCTCTCTCTCTCTCTCTCTCTCTCTCTCTCTCTCTCTCTCTCTCTCTTACCAGGCATATGACATATTCAAATGTGCAAGGCTCCCCACATCTGTGTGGTCGAGCAGGAAGTGCCAACGCATCCGTCCACTTGACATGCACTTAAAAAATACAAAGCACCAAACAACTCACTCTCCCAAAAACAGACCCAGGAGAGAGCCCAATGGTCTAGACACCAGGAGCTCTACTGTGCATGTGAGCGTGCAGATCTATTTTCACTTGACAAAGAAGCCGCATGATCCACATCCATCACAGACCCCCCCCAGACCCCCAGCACCCCAATTCTTTTGGTCATACGGATGGAGAATGATTGACAGGAAGGGTAACCTACTCTTGTCGGATGCGCTTAGATTCTTCGAGGAAGGACCGCACATCAGGGGCCGCTTCGTAAGCCTCGTCAATCAGAGATCCAATTTTCTCTGGCATTGAAGGAACACCAAGCCTGTTAAGAAAACAGGAAGGGAGCGAGGATCAGATGGATATAAGAAAACAGGAAGGGAGCGAGGATCAGATGGATATCCACCAACAAATAAGAATACGTGTGCGGTTTAGCAGAGAGGAGAAACGAGGATTATGTAGGGGCGGTGGCGATCAGGTCTGAAGGAAGGTGGGAAATACCAAAAGGAGCATGAAGAGAACCATAAAAAGGAAAGTAAAGAAAGTGTGAACAAAGCACAGGAGGAGGGACTGATGGACAAGGTAGATACGGAGGGAAAACAAAAGGACGGAACAGGTGCAAGGGGCAAAAAAGGAGAGGGAGGGAGGAGAAAGGGGGAGGAAGAAATTATGCAGGAATTATGGATTTATTGAATGGTCAAGGATGGGGGGGAAGTGAACCTCAAAAGATCGGAAAACGAGGGGGGAAACAACAAGTAGACGCACACACACAAAAAAAAAAAAAAAAACATTGTCGCAAGTTGGCAGTCGACATGACAGAGAGAAAAAGGCGGAACGGAAATTGCACTCGTCAGTCAGCTTGCCAAAAAAGTGCCCTTACAGAAGTCCGAATCAGGGAACGAGAACTGCTGTTCATTTAATCCAAGCTAAAAACGTTCACCCGCACACGTGACAAGCAGGCAGCCAAGCAACAAGGCAAGCAATCAATAGGCCGCAAAAGGAAAGGCTTGACTGACAGGAGTGAGAAGCTTGGGCACGTACTTCTGCCTGACAGACTTCATGATACTGGCATACTTCTCCACCTGTGATGGGTCCTCCGGATCCATGGGGAGTTGCACTTTCTCGAGCTCTTTCAACGTGGCCCTGAAGTTCTGCTGCTGCTTCGAAAATGCTGTCTTGATGACATCGTCTGCTGAACCAAATGCAAATCGGTCACAGCAAACATAGATAAGCATGCTGGGAGGTTTTCTTTCAGAAAACAAAGAAAACAAGACGGACTCTGACACGCGGATGCAAGTTCAAGCAGGAGCAACAAGAGGGAGGCGAAGAGGAGGCGGAGGAGCAGAAGGAGAAGTCCCCGAGATTCTTATGTTCAACAAAAGAAAAATTTATAAAAAAAAGAGAAGAAACGGGATGGGTACTTCCGGATTTACGACGGACTGGAGAGCAGCGACCTGCACACGGTCGAAGATCAACAAAGGAGGAGGGGAAAGAGGAAGAGCAGGGGGTCAGATTATACTTACCTTTTTTCTTCAGTAAAAAAGATCTACAGATACTTACCTTTTTCTCTTCAGTAAAAAAGATCTACAGCCTAAGTATATGTTGCCGCTCCACCTAAAGTAGAAACATTTCCAGTAGCTTGAATCTGGCCATATAGAACGAGCACAGGCAAAACTTATCCCGGCCATACACCACGAACTGACCCCCCCCAATCCAGCACACCTCTCCACGCACCTCTCGATGCACAACCACCTTACACAGAGAGTGATCACTTCGCCACGCCGGATTCAGCGCAGCTCGTGCTCCATGCAAACCGCCTGTTTCAATTTCTGGAGAGTGAAATGCATCTAGTCGTTCAACTCCAGGAAAAGATCCACCACGTGAACCACTGTGTATGTGCATGTGTATGTCTGTGTGAGAGAGAGAGAGAGAGTCGCCATAGGAACGGCAGTTTCAACACAGCCTGATGGCGTGTTCAAACCGCCATCGCCATTTGCTCGCCTTCCGACTCAGAAAAGTGCTGCTGGGAGCAGAAAATCCCGACAGCGCTGGCGTGAGGTGAACCTCACGGCAGCGCTGTCAGGGCTTTCCGTTCTCCGCGGCGCTTTTCTGAGGTGGAAGGCCGGCATCTACCGTTTTCAGTAGCGCGCCCACCCCGTCCACAACTTTTCCCACGGAGACCCAAGTTTGAATCCACATGCGAGCATTTGCTGAGCAGTGGGGCGAGGAAGCAGACAAAACAGAAAACGAAAGGGCCTTGCTGCGCCACTCCCCAAATACTCGGAGGCAGATACCACTTCTTTCCATTTTCGTGAGAACTCAAAAGTTCCCCTTTTAGTGGACCCGGCCCGACCGGCTCGTGAAAGGAAAATGGGATCCAACATGTCCTATGATCCGGGGACTTTTTCGAGGGAAGTGGCGGGTTGTTGTGGGCGGGGTCCAATTTTGGGGTGTCCGTTGGGGGGGACGGTAGCAAACCGGCCGTCACACACTGGAGACTGTGGTCGGACATTCCAGGACTACTGTTAGGACCGAGGGAATAAGAAAAAAAAAAAAAGTCCGCCTTCTTTTTCAGTACAAAGTACGTACGGGGTTGGCCTCTTCCGATAATCGGAGGAACTACCACCCCTGCAATCACGCTCGCACCTCCACGTACGAAACCGTTTCCACTTCCGCCACATTCCAGGACGGGATCCTACTTTCATCGAAAAAAGTGGGATCCCAAATTTTGCCTAAAAGTGCCCTACTCATAAGAAGTGGGATCTGGCCCTAAGAAACAAAACGAATCTTCCCTTAGAAAAGGGAATGCTACAAGGCCCCGTTGGTTTCCCCCCCTCCACCTTTTTTTTTTTGGGCTTTTCACAAAGGCACAGGGCCCGTACTTTCCAATGGCCACCACTTTCCCAGTCACGTTTTCCGGCCCACCGTCGATAGATGCCGGAGATCCCGCTGCTTATCGGACGGCCCATCTCGCACACGGGCGGAGTCTGGTCCTGGCGGTAGGAACATTAATAGAATGCAGTAGATTGCGAAACAGAGGGCAAGCGGCAAGCAGCCAAACCGCAGACATTTCGCTCCTTGCTAGACCGCCAGTAGCCCTGCAAACTATATTGTTGGTGTACAAAGCAGAGGCCATGCTCATGGTTTCCCAGGCATCAGCTATGGAGTTTTGCACAGAAGCTCCCGAAAACCCAGAGGCCCAGCCAGCCACAGGGCGTTCTGAAAACGCTCTCTCTAATCGAGGCTCTGTTGGTTGAAAAGTGCACGATGTCTGAAGTCTTGCAACTTCATTGGGATGCTCTGGAGCCGCGCGAGGCATTCCGGAAATGCTCTCATTTGAGGGATCTGGTGGCTTTCCAAAAGTTCACCCACACCACCTCCACATTCTTGGGCCTTCGTTGGGATGCGTTGGCGCTGGATCTCGGAGTCCTGTTTTCTAAATTCTTCAACATTTTTGTCCACAGTCCAGGTTGAATGGAGCAGCAGGCGGGATTCGTACCCAGGTCGGCCCCTTACGTTTGGTATTTTGAGATTTTCCATTGCTGTCCGTGGAGAGATTTGAGCAAGGGCAGGCTCTTTGACAGTCCACAGCGAATGCCAAACCTAGAATACGCTACCTCAGGTACACTTCAGGCTCGTCTCGTCTCACAAGCCGTGCCCCACCCAGCTCAGCAGCAGCAGCAGCAGCAGTGCTACGAGTAAGAGCCATGTCTTCGTTTTTCTTTTTTCTTTTTCCCTTTAAAGAGAGCCATGTCTTTGTTCATCCAAGGACTCTTTGTTTTTTTAAACGATTTTTGCACCGGAATTATCAGACAGCTGTAAATATGTTCCAACAGTAATCACACTCTTCAAGCCTTTTTTTTCACTGCTGTTTACTTTTTCTGCGTTTTGCACTGATTGCCTCAAAAGTGGCCAGTCCTGCCGATCGCCTTGTGTATTTGGAGAAGGTGGTATGCACATCAAAACAGTGGTGCAGCCTTCGTGCTCGGCATGGGATTGTAGGTTAGGTTAAGTTAGGTTAGGTTAGGTTAGGTTAGGTTAGGTTAGGTTAGGTTAAGGTTATGTAGACGCCTCAGCCAACCAACTACCCCCCTGGGAGGGGAGTGACGCAGGACTGCACAAATGAAACAAGGGTTCAGGAAAAGAATGGCGTACGTTCACTTTCCATAGCATTTGCCCAAACGTGGCTCTAATTTACTTGAAAACCATGTGGTTGGTCAGGCAACCAATAGGCGTTGCCTGACAAGCCGTTGGTTGTGTTCGATTCTCGGATCGGACACTCGTTGCTTCCAATCATTGCTTCCAGGCAGTAACCGCCGTAGAAATTGTACTACGGATGTGTGGCTGTGAGACATGGGGATAATGAGTGTGGTCGGGCACACTGTGTCGCAGAGCAATCCGTGCTGGGGTTGGTTGAAATACTCGTATCTTGGGGCTTCACTTTCACCCCAGCCCGCTTAGCCTATTGGTTAGGTGTTTGCCTGACAAGCCGTTGGTTGTGTGACCTACTCTCGGATTGGACGTGCAACCAAGTGCAAGTGATAATGAATATACCTTCTGCAGCCGCCACAGCAAATGCGCGTACATGACTGCCTCCAGCGGTCCCGTTCCCCAACAAGCCACTGGCATCGCGGATCAACGGCCGCACCTGAGGAAGAGAAACAAGACAGCAACACGTATCAATCAATCAATGCTTCGACAATACCTGATAGCTCACAACGACGGATCACTAAAACCACTGTGAAAAAATTAAAAATTTAAAAAAAATAATAAAAAATGAAAAAGCGATCCTTCCCCAGTACATCCAACAAGAAAGGCAAGTGCTCACTCATGAAATGCTGCACGTAGGCAATTACCAAAAGAAGCAACTTTCTTTTTCCAAGTACTCCCACACAAATCCTTCCAGCCCACAGGTGTTCTCCAGTAGAACACACTGCGGTACATAATAGCATTATATCAATAGGACATAACAGCAATACACCACCAGCAGAAGCGTCCCAGCAAAAACACGTCTATGCACAGTTGAACATAGAGGGGGAAGGCTCTTCGCCGATCTCAACACGGCAACGTCACTTGCCAAGCACGATCTGCCTCTTGCAGCTGGGTCGTCGTTCCTACACAGACTTTGCATGCAAGATCTGCCTCGTGAGCGCTACTGGGCCATAGCTCGGTTGGTACAACTATCAACTCTTGAAACACAGACCCGAGTTCGAATCCCGATGGAATCAGACGAGTAATCCGCCGAACTCAACACGGCTACGTCACTCGGCAAGCACGATCTGCCTCTTGCAGCTGGGTCATCGTTCCTACACAGACTTTGCATGCAGGATCTGCCTCGTGAGCGCGACTGGGCCATAGCTCAGTTGGTACAACTATCAGCTGTTGAAACACCGACCTGAGTACGAATCCCGATGGAATCAGATGAGCAAAAGTACCTCTGAATTTAACTGCGGCCGATTCGTTCAAAGATGATATCTCAAGGCCATTGCCATTTAGAAACAAAAACAGAAAATTTATTTGTTTTATTTATTCTCAAAAAAAAAAAAACAGGTCCTTATGGACCTGGCTCCATGCCCTGGGTCCATATATCCATTCTGGGGAGCATCAGTGCTGTTCCTATTCCACCGGCATGTCAAAAAATTACAAGTACGACCGCCACACTCACGCTTCACGCTTCCTTCCTTGCTTCCGTCTGGCCAAAGGATCCTCGAAGAGCATTGAGGGCTCCAGCAGTATGGAGGAGGATTCACTGTCAGCTTGCCAAACCTCTACCTTTCCTCTCAGGTATCCAGATGTCTGAGCCTGTCAGATCTATCGTAAAACCAAGAAAGGGATAGAAGATAGAAGATGAGGAGAGCCACAAACTCGGAACATGCCATTAGAAACACAGATCACCTTATACCAGACGAGGGCAGGATCAACTTATACAAGGCGAGGGCAGGATCAGCTTATACCAGGCGAGGGCAGGAAGGATGTCGGCCTGATGCAGACGTGTGCCCACCCCGCTGCTGCTATAGGACATGAAAGAAGACAGCAGCCTTAACCTCTCTTTCTCTCACACCCGGAAATTCAGTCCGCCCTCTGGTCGGTCTGGTCCTCTTCCCACTCAGCCAAACAGACAGCTCGAATTTTCCATCTATCTTTACGGGCGATGTTAATTTGCCCTTTTTACTTATTTTACCAGCTAAAGCGTCGCCAGCCAGAAGGAAGGTTCGGTCCATCACACAGAGACAACCTTGGCACACTTTTTCTTTAACCTCCCTCAGCAAACCCAGCTGAACTTCATGACACTTCCTTTGCAGGGTGCAAAGACAGAAATCACCCCACCCCACCCCACCCCCTCTTTTCGTGTATACTAACCCCGACTGCTGTGCCTTTCTGAGAATCTGTGGTTGCCTTCTTCTTTATTGTGTTCATCTGAGAATCTGATAGCATCTGGATTCGAACTTGAGTCCGCATTTCAAAAGTTCATGGGGATACCAACTGAGCTGGTAGGCGGGTGGGTGTGTGGCTGCCTTCTTCAGGAGCTAGATTGGGAGCGTGGATTTCTCAGCAGGAACTCCAAAGCGCCCCCACCCCGATGCAACCAAGGCGTGTGTGGGAAAGGTCACCCCCAAGCAACAAGTGAGCCAGTCATATATTTATGTTCGATAGATAAACAATACCTGCCCCAAGGCTCCTCTCGCCGATCCATGAAGGCGTTGAAGAGCACGATAAAGCTTCGCCATATCCTCCTGCGCACAGAAAACGAAGAAAAAATCAGGGATGGAGGTAGGAGAGCCACAACGAGGTCAACTTCTTCCACGCAGCAGCAGCAACACAACCAGACCGCGGAGAGCTCTCATCTCCATGGCCCCCGGCCTCGTCCCATTGTGTATACTTGCAATATAAATACGAACTTTCCAAAAAAATAAAAAATAAAAAAAATCGAACCGATCTGCCGGATCTTCGATCCTCCGACCACTGACGGGCATCAGTAATAAGATAATAATAAGACCGAAGACGTCGGCCAGGTGCGCCATGACTCGGTTTTTTTTTTTTTTTTTTTTTTTTGGTTCCCAGCAACAAGCACGCAAAAGCCGGTGACGTTTGTTCCTGCAACGATTCCTAGTTTCCACAGACCATAACACACAGAGGAGAAAGGACCTCCCTCCACTTACTCACCACTCACCAAATGTGCAACATGAGAATGAATCTTCCGCTAGAACACGGGAAGATACGCCGCCACATTTTGCCTTTTCTGCATGTGGTCGATCAGTAGTGGAGCGAGGCCCAAAAGCCAGCAGAACGCAACTCAGAAGGCAACTCGTTCAAGGAATTTTGCCCCAGTAATCCGTTTGCACGTTTACACGCGTTCTACTCATATTTCAATTCCTTTCCGGTATTACATATATCGTCACACAGTGTGGGCGTCGTCGCACGGGACACGAAACGAAAAACGAAACGAGTGCATCTTCCTGCACAAAATGGCCAGGTTCAGCGATTTGCTATAAATAGTAACTAGTGTATTTTGCCACCTTTCGGGGGCAGATGCACTCGTTTCGTTTTCGTTTCGTGTGCCGTGCGGCGAGACCCTGTATCGGAGCGCAAAGGCGAGGGAAAAAAAAACAGAAAAAGGGAAAGAAGTAAGGAAGGAAAGCTCCGCCTGTTCATCACCTCTTACGTACAAGGCCGGCCACGTGGATGATGATCATCGTCAAACAGAGCTGCCCGGTAAACGGAAGGCAGAGAGGGGAGAAGACATATTACTGTATTGTCACACTGTGAATCGGAGCGCGAAGGCGAAAAAAAGACAAAAAAAAAAAGGAAAGAAAACGGACAAGGGAAGAGGAAGGCCTATCAGTCTTTTTTTTTTTTTTTTTTTTCGTTTTTTCATTTTTTTTCTCGAAAGGCATCCAGTCAAAGAAAGGACAAGGGAAGAGGAAGGCCTATCAGTCAAACAAAGCAAATGACACATCCCACAGATAAACCAAAAAATTGCCACTGTCACAACAAAGTTCAACGTATTTTTTCTTCTTTTTTTAATTTCTTTTTCGCAATTTGTTTTTTTCTTTTTTTTTCTTCGTTTTTTCTTTTTTTTTCTCCTTTCTACAATTAGTGTTGCTCCTGACCTGCTTGATTCTATTGGGCAATCAGTAAGAGGAGAGGAGCCCCCACCCACCCAGGCAGATAGGACAGGCACGCTGAGGATGACGTGGATGTTCACAAGGATACCCAAGGAGAGCTGCGCGCCAGCACAGCATTCAGCAGGACTGCTAGCACGGACCATCCCATCGCATCAAAACAGTCCTGACAAAGGACATGCTGTCTGTACACATGTCAAAAAAAGAGAAGGACGTTCATCACAGTGCGGCATCATGTGCAGTCCTGATAGCGTCCTTGCGCACAAAAGGGACAACGAATATCTGGGTGATAGGGCGGGATGTGTACAATGAGGAAATGTTGGACACCCTTCGGCACAGACGACGACGGCGGCCGCAATAGATTGATAATGGTGATGGCATAGATGATGAATTCTACAGCCAAGGCGCACCACCGCGTCTGTCCCGACAGGTGTCACACGCGAGTCGGTCAATAATCCAGAATAAAGTACGATTCGATTGTCACAAGAGTATCAGAGCGCAAACGCGAACAAAAAGAACAAAAAAGAAAAAAGAAAGAGAAACAAAAAAAAAATGAATTCAGTTTTTTTCCTTCTTCCTTATAACTCCCCCTGTTCAGAACCTCCTCTTGCGTACAAGGCCGCCCACGGGGATGTAGGTTGAGCGGCGGCTGCCCCCACCCCCGTGTGTCATATCGACCCACTTGCACACAGCCAAAAGGCAAAGAGGCGAACAAAAGAGGAAGGGAACACCCAAATATAACAAAACAGGGGGAAACGAACATAAACAGATCCCAGATGACAAGTCCCACATGCAAGCACCGCCCCAACACACACAGGCCAAACGACGGGACAAGACCAACCAGGATGTCAAAAAAACATTCTTTCCTGCAAAGAAATCAAAAAAAGTCCCAGACACATACTATCTATACACAGCAGATGGCCTTATTCGACATCAAGAAGTTGGTATCCCTATTCGGCGTCATCGTAAGCAATTCGATTCGTACCGGGACATCATAAAAAAACAATCCTAGATGATGATTCCCGCATACATAAAAACACCGCCCCCATTGATAGGCCGAACAACGGGAAGCAACCAACTAGGATCATACCAAAAAGAACCCGGAGGACCGGTATAAAAGGCAATCCCGAATGACGATTCCCATATAAAAGCACCGCCCCCATGCAGGCCGAACAACGGGAAACAACCAACCAGGATGCCAGTCGAACGGAGCTGCCCGGTAAACCGTAGCCAGAGAGGGACAAAAGGGAGAAGAGGACAACAAACGAGGGGGGGCTGTGCCAACGATTTTTTCCTTCCATCTTTGTTTCGTCGGAGTTTCTCATATAAGCCTTCAATTAAGCCTATTGGGGCTTATTAGAGAATCCTACTCCCATCCACCAGCGTATATCATCAAATCGTTTCCAGTACGTGATACTCCCCACCAATGGATACACTCCTCCCCCCCAAGGCTACTTGTGTCCGCCTTTACCAGCACCACTAGCCTCAGAAGAGTAGGTTTAAAGGGGGGGGGGGGGGGGAAAGGGAAGAAAGAAGAAAAGAAAAAGAAAACAAATCGTAGCTTGTCTCATTATCCCCCGCCGGAAAAAAACTCTGGATGTGACGCGACCCCACCGTGATCCACCGGAAATCTGGTCGCGCTTTAAAAAAAAAAAAAAAATCAAACCGTCCGACAACCGTTCGCCGTCAAAGCCACAGAAACTCTCCGAGTTTTTTTTTTTTTTCTCTTTTAGAAAATTGTCGGCGCAGGCTCTCCGGTGACTTAAGGAAAGACAGCAGCAGCAGAAGCTCTCATTCGTAAGCCGGGCACGTCCGCGGTATGGGGTGCAAGACAAGGGGGTGCTGAATTGTGGTCTACCTGTGATCGCAATGTCCACGAGGACGCAGATACGGCAAAACGGCACGCATAATGCACTGTACAATCTGAACTATGCACTACACGACACCTCACCGCGGCTACGTGTCGCTTTGCTCGCAAGAAAACAGGAGAGAGTACTAACGAACTTCTTTTTGTTTTTTTCTGTCACTGCGGCAGCGAGTTCACCTGTTATATGTGGTGTCCTGTGGGTGGAGGCACGTTACTTCTTTTGCGCTGTGTCCGATGACCCGCACGGTTGCAGTGCGAGAACTGCACTTTTCTGAGGAAATGATGTCCTGTTGACCTGTTTGCTGACAATTCCAATCCCCAGTCTGTTTGATGTGTTCTCTAAGTACGTATGTGATCAGCCAATGTTGTATCTATGCTCTCTCTCTCTCTCTCTCTCTAGAAGGGTAATCGCGACGGATTTTCGTCGCATGCCATGGGCAGGACGTGTATTCTGTGAAAGTAAAGCCTCGCACGTTTTGTCTACTATTGCATGTGTGTATCTGTGTGTGTGTGTGTGTGTGTGTCTGTGTGCGCCTGTGTGTGAGATCCGCAATCTCTCCCTCTCTCTCTCTCTCTCTCTCTCTCTCTCTCTCTCTCTCTCTCTCTCTCTCTCTCTCTCTCTCTCTCTCTCTCTCTCTCTCTCTCTGTGTGTGTGTGTGTGTGTGTGTGTGTGTGAGACCCCCCCTCCCCCTCCCCCCCCCCCCCCCTCTCTCTCTCTCTCTCTCTCTCTCTCTCTCTCTCTCTGTGTGTGTCTGTGTGTGTGCACCGCCAGGAAGCACGATCTGCAGCAGGAGGTGAATATGGTGGACGACGACGAAAACATAAAAACCCTTTGTAGTTTTTCTAGCCTCAATGTAAGCGTGATGATCTCTGCGCGGAAGGATGAAGTGGAAGAGGAGGACGATGTCGACGAGAACGATCACATAAAGGAAAAAGACATGGAAAAGTAGGAACGACGACATGGAAACCCTTGTCATCTTCCTAACCCCTGTGCAAGTGCGATGATGGCCTTCCCCGCGCTCTCCCGGAGGCTGAGCGATATTGGCATCCGAGGCAGACGAACGAAGAGCAGACTGATGATGGGGAGGAGCTGAAACCGAGAAGAACGACATAGCGAAACAGGACATGGAGGAGGAGAAAGATGAAGAGGAGGGACCATGGCCAACGAGACAGAAAGCAAATGGGTATCAATAAATTAAGGAAAACGAAAAAATCACCATAGCCTCCTCCTCCCCCCTTTCCCCTCAAACTTCGTCACATCAGCATCCTCATCTTCCTACCCCCTCCCCTCCTCCTCCTCCTCCTCCTCCTCATCATCATCATCATCATCATCATCATCATCGAATCTCTCCTCCCCCTCCTCTTCGTCCACCCATTTAATTTTCTTTGAATCACCATCGCTCTCCTGGAGGTAGGAAGATATTGACCTCCACGGCTTCCACATGGAACTGGACATAAGCAGAGGCTGAGGAGGAGGACAACGCGGAGAGAAGGATGACACGAAAGAGGACAAGAGAACATACACGTATAGGAGGAAGACAGTGAAGGGAAAAAAAAGGGCGGAAGGAATATGGTGAAACGAAATACAAAGAGAAAAGCACAATGGAGCCACCATAACCCCCTACGCCTTTTCCCATCCCGCTTCTTCCTGCCGTCAGCAATGTCATTATTCCTACCCCTCCTCCTCCTCCTCAGCTCAACCACTGATAGAAAACCAAGGTAATTCTCCTCCCATCTTATTCTCCTTTCTCATCCAGCCATTCCCCTCCCCCCTCTCTCTCTCTCTCTCTCTCTCTCTCTCTCTCTCTCTCTCTCTCTCTCTCTCTCTCTCTCTCTCTCTCTCTCTCTCTCTCTCTCNTCTCTCTCTCTCTCTCTCTCTCTCTCTCTCTCTCTCTCTCTCTCTCTCTCTCTCTCTCTCTCTCTCTGTGTGTGTGTCTGTGTGTGTGTGTGTGTATGTGTGTGACAGAAATACAAATCAACAAAACTTGGCATAAGCTGGCCGACTGGACCGGACCAACGATATTCTTGAGGTAGATCGAAAGAAATGGCACGCAAGCAGAGCGGGGCGGAAGTCTGAGATTACGGGAGCTGCGTGGCGGAAGTCTGAGATTACGGGAGCTGCGTGGCGGAAGTCTGAGATTACGGGAGCTGAAAAAGCCGGCGCTTAGGTTGCCATGGGGAAGAGAGATGGGTAAAGCAGGCGCAGACGGATATTGAGAGAGGACGTTGAAAGATGTGCAGAGTCGAAGGCAATGGGGGGAGGAGGAGGAGGAAGCGGCGGAGAAGGAGGAGGAGGAGAAAGGATCAGATCGCGGCTCACCTCCTTAACGCGGAGCTGTTCACCGCTCCGACGAAACAGAGAAGGTTCGACTCTTGGCGGCTTCCAACGCTGAGAGCGGTGGTGAGCGGCGAAGGCGGGGCGCTGAATTGCACGCGCCCACGGTCGCTTGGGCCTCGCTCAACCACTCGCTCGCCCACAGTGAATTTGGTGCGAATATCATAACGCGCCACAGTCGCTAATCCTTTTGTCCATTGTCCACGAGAACCGGGAGTGATCAATGCAACAACAATTAGGGATTCGGTGAGCGCACAGCCTATGTGCCTATGTGTGTGACTGCGTGCTTCGAGTGTCGTGTGTCGTGGCCCCGCCCCTCGGAGCCGTGATGACCGCTCAACGCCCTGCACTGCATCCTCCCTTGGGAACTGTGCGGCACCGTGAGGCACTGATGTCTCGCTGGGCGGGCCTCGTAATTCACCAAAACGCGGGGGAACTGTGTGACACCGTGAGGCACTGATGTCGCTGGGCGCGGCCTCGTAATTCACCAAAACGCGGTCGCCGTGTGAGGTTCTCAAAGCTGCATCACAAAGGAGGGCATATTCACATCGCGTTCTCAACCCATCCGAATTCGGGGGGGTTGAGGAAAGCCGCAACCCATCCAAATTTGGGGGGGGGTTAAGGAAAGCCGCAACCCATCCAAATTTGGGGGGGTTGAGGACAGCCGTTTCGGTGGTTTGAGGTGCCTCACTCATAGTGGCAAGAAGCCCGCTGTTCTCCAGATAAGACGCGGCCCAAAGTGATTGGCAACCTGGGGGGGCGCGGGCAACGCACGTTGATTTTCAGTTTTTTCAGGTCTGCCCGCCTACATTGCTCTCTCTCGCGCGCACATTAGGCCTCGCTGCACTGCTCATCACATACACAAGAGAAAAATTATGGCGTGGCGGTGGATTTACCCCTGCTCTCGCAGAAATTCGGTCTCATTTGCTGAGCGGTGGAGCGAGGGGGCCCATTGACGAAAAAACGTGGAACAGCGCTGTGGCCCCCCTACATTGCTTTCTCTCACACACAGACACTGGCATACAGCGACGCCGCATATTTGCAGGCCCATAGCAGGACGCTATATGGATGAATGCCTGCCAACAACCAGTAGAGCAGCCGGTCATGAGCGGAGAATGGCGGGTGGTTGAGCGGTGGCTTGGCGCCTGGAAAGCATCCGACAGGCCAAAATAGTAGTCTACGGGGATGGGCAAGAGCAAAGGGACTCCACCTCCACAGCAAATTTGGGCACTTGCGCAGGTTCGGGTTACAGGATCAGGAAGACTTGCCCTTTCGGCCAAGGGTGCTTCCTCATTATAATATTTAAACCACCACTACCTCCGAGCCTGTTTTTGCCCACCCTGAATTTCACTGCGCACTGAGTTTTGCCGAGCCTGGGTTCCATGGGGTTTTTTTTTTTTTTTTTCCCCCTTCAATCATATTGCATTACAAAGGTAAACCGGAGGCAGGGGTCCTCACAATTCAACCCAGAGTATCTGGCAGCATCAGCCATCTTTAGCGTACAGGCGCAGTCTGCGAGTTATGCACTGGGCATACTCCATCTCCGCAGAAAACACTTTGTTACTTGACCAGGGTTGAAAAATATCAAGGCACAGAAGGGCCAACTCATAGGCCACTGTGCTGAAGAATCAGACCCTGACTGGGTTCCATTTTGCTTTTCTCATGGTACTCATGTGAAAAAAGAAAAAAAGGAACACGGCGTCCACGACAAAAAAAAGGGGCAGGGCTATATGCCAACGTCGTCACATCAACCAAAAAGAAATAATAATAATAAACAAGCCTTCCCTTGGTTGCCTTGCCCTTGATTTCCTCCTCCTGCCACGTTAGCTTGCAAACTTTGTTGAATGGGCGGTGGAGGTGGCGCCATGGGCTGGGCCTGAACTGCAGGATATCTTGGAGGTGGGGCACTTGCTTGAGGCCCTGAGTATGGTACTATTTGTCCTGGTGGAACCTGACCGCCCCACGGTACGAAGGTGCTAAAGACAAGCCACGACCACTGTCCATATGCTGGTGGCCCTGCTTGTGAGGGTCCCGCACTACTTGTCGGTGTTGCTGTACTTGGCGAGGCTACTGCCAATGTCTGAGGTGCTTGTCCCTTTCCAGAGCCTTGTCCCCCTTGTGTCAAATTACACTGCTTACGGTGCGCCTTTACAGGGTGTTGGGTTACTGTCTCCTTGTCTTCCCATTCTTCTTGAACAACTTCCTCTACCAATGACTCCTTCCCCTTCCCTTGGACCGTGGTCACCACCTTCTTCTGTATCACGGAGTCCTTTCCATAGCCCAACTCCGCGAGTACATCCGTAATGATTTTTTTTACTCCTGGAGTCCCTGAGGCGGTCGCATCACGCTTCTTCCTTTTTTGCTTATGTTGGCGCATTTGATATTGCTCCACCTGGTCCAGATCCCCTTCCTCTACCTCTTTGTCGATCGTGGCCAGGTGAGCTTCTCACTGTGACTGGCCCCTCTTCGCTTTGTCGGTTCCTGGGCTTCTGAGGAGTTGAACAATCATAGGAAGATGGCACATTATGCCTCTTCCGAAATCCCTGGGACCTTCCTTGCCTTTTTCTTGAATTCTTCAGCCGAGGCCCCAACAGTGGTAAATTCATCTCTGTTCATCGCCTCCAAATCCGCCGTTGTCAGCAGGTCATCACCCAACCTCTATTTTCTCTACATGCCATCCTTAAACCTCGCCCAACTGCCATTTGGCGCAGCTATAACATTTTTCACCTCCTTGTGGAGCCCATAGTGTATGCATGTCGGGATGCGCCGAAACTTCATTGCATCCGTCATACCTACCATTGCTTGCTCAACTAGATCTATCCAATCTTAAACTCGTTCCCCGCTGAACAGGAAAGTGTTGATCTTAAGGACATTGCTCTGAGTTTTTTCCCGTTTGTCCAAGGTTTCGACTAGGTCATCAATGATAAACCCTTTTGCCACACCATCGATCATCTTGACCGATCTTTTGATTTAACCCGTTCCTGTTAAGAAAAGGTAAAAGCTTCATCCAGCAAGTTGACCTATCACATTACTTATCTAACTTCCTACTTAGCCAGATTATGGTCCGATCTTAATTGATACTACCTCTTTCTCTTTTCTTAACCCACCTTAACAGGTTTGTTTCTACTAGTATAAGGTTTCCCTTACGTCCTAAGGGAACATAACCCTTATCCCGTAGTCGTTAGTCACGCGGGCAATAAAATAAAATAAAATATAATATATTATTAATAGTAACTTACTTAGGTAGTCTTCTCACCCAAACAAGGCTTCACATACTCTACCTTATAAATCGAATAAAATTTCCCCATATGTCTATTTATCACATTCCCATACCCGGATGTCGTTCCACCAGGGACAACAGTATGCAACCGTTATCCCGGCAATGGCGCCACCTATCGAGCGCATCGGTCCCACGCAGTGAGGGACCCTCCCGGCCACGTCACGCAGGAGTTGGTCTACTCGCGATACACAAGGAGTTTCCGCAAACCGCTCCGACCGAGTGCGCCAGCCATACCTCTCACGAACCCCTACGACATGATAAGGGCAATGCGCGGTACAACTTACCTCCACCTGCGGGAGCTATCACCTCCCTTCGGTGGGCTTATCCCGGCCAAGCTACCAGTCCACAGTACGAAAGTTAATCAGTTGCAATCGCAGAGGTGGACCAAACAATAACATTTCTTGTACGTTGTAGTATAGGGGATATGCGCGGTGTCGAGCGCATCGGCTCCCGCCTTCTTCCAAAGGCGAGATTGCTCTCGGCCATGTCACGCATGAGTAAAACATAACAAAATGAGAGACAACTCAGGAACGACGAATAAATAACCACGCGAACCGTTGAGACGAACGTGATCACGTCGTCCCTTCGCCGCTCTAATCTGGTGCGCCAGCTATACATCTCGCGGTCCCCTACGATAGGATAGGTTCTCACGGGGCATAAACTTTATCTCCCTAAGGGTTTGTCACCACCCTTAGGGGCGTATTCCTACCGAGCTACCGACCCATATGCAAAAGTTTTTAGATGCAATTGCAGAGGTAGGTCAGCAGAGGGCGTTTGCTCGTTCGTTGTAGTATAAATACGCTTGGTTAAATGCCAGGTGAACATGAGTGTCGTTCGTCCCTTAGGACGCTGATCTCCTAAGTACGAAGCGAACGTCGGTCGACTAGGACTGTCTCAACCAAGTGTGAAACCACAACTCATCCTAGTCTCTTAGACACATAGTCAAAAAATAATTAAAACATCCGCACATATAATTACATCAAAGAGAGTCGACCATAGTCGACAAAAAATATATATCCAAACTGAAAGAACTCGAATCAGCATACGATACATCCAATAATATGAGTTTAAAATAAAATTCGACCTCCTCGGTCGAACTCCATAAAACAATCATACAACTGCCAACTATGAGTTAGCTACTAATAATAACATTGATGCAGCTGACAAGGTAGTCGGACTGCCTTAGTTTTGACTTGATGAGACGTACTGCCAACGTTATTCATGTCAACATACCGCCAACCTAATATTACACCCGCACACACTTGTCTTCTTACTTTTTCAATCTTCTTGGATGGCGGACTACTTTGCGAATGATTCTTAATCAGGTGAATTACTTGTCAATGAAGTGTTGCATATCTCTCCCTCTAGGAAGTGGTCTGGGGTACTCATCCTCCTTGCCCGAGCACAAGACTCGGATCTCAGAAGTCAGGCCGTCTCTATCGAACCGACAGAATACCCCCTCGTAAAAACGATTTACTCCGGGTCGATAACAAGGCCGGTTCCTGAAGCAACGAACCTCCGCCCAGATGCTTCCTACAGAGAAGGAATGTATCCACTACAAGTAGGTTTTGGATACTTTTATTTCTTATAAGTTCAAGGTAGCTTGGACGAAAAAAAAAAAAAAAGATAGAAAATAAGAACCATTTGGACAGATAAAAGTTATTAAGGATAGAAAAGGTCAACCCTTAGGAAAAACTACGTTCGTTTGACTTTATCTGCTTTATTTGAATCGAATTCGTTTTAGGGTGCTTACAAAATTAACGTTTTTCAAAACAACGAATCTTTTTTGACATACGGACATGTGAGAAGTAAAAAGAAAAGAATCATTTTCCTTTTTCTCAAATAGGCATAATCAACCTCCTTTCCAAGCATCCTTCTACCTACCTGCACATCACGCAAAAAAAACAAGTTCAAAAAAAAACAATACAATTTCATACTCAAGTCAGACCTTTCTCATTCACATGCATGACTCACACAACTTTCCTCTACCTTTTCTTTCGAACATTTAAAACAAACAGGGTCAAGCAA